AGGCCCAGGGCTCACACCACTCCAGGCTGTTGCCTTTGCTAACGTCTGCCCCTCCCCCGTGGCAGCTCTGCAGCTAGGAGGGAGCAAAGGGCTTTCCTTTCTTGCTTGGAAGAACAGAACCAAAGCAACGGTGACAAGATGCCTGGGGACAGAATCTGACAGCTACACTGGGGCTGACGTGCCTCGGGCTACGGTGCCTTCTCCACTACCCCTGAGGTGGTCGGTTGGCATCATGGCCACTGTGGAGGGGAAGGGGCTGAGGGACTGCTGGGCCCCTCTCAAGCTGAGAACGGGGCAGCTGGAGCAGGCCAAGCCCCGCTGCATAAACAGCGTCTCCCTCGACCTCCTGGCCTCAGAGCAGAAAAACAGTGCCAGATGGTGCCCAACGCCGGCTGATCTCCCTAGCAACCCACGCAGCACCACTCACCCCGATGCCAGCTTCTCTGGGGTCGGAAAGGGCAGCTGGCACCCAGAAGGAGGCCAGGTTCTCTTGCTCTCATCCCAGCCTTTGCATGGGCTGCACCTCCACCTGGGACACGCAGCCTCACCCACTCGTCAGACTCACCTTCCCTGACCTCACCCTGCTCCTGCTTCTTTTGCTCAAAGCACTCAGCAGTGAGTTTGGGGGGTGTTTTCTTGTTGGTGGTCCCCGCGCACCTAGAAGCGTGGCCCCATATTAAATTTGTTGAAGGGAGGAATGGAGGAGAAAAGAGTCGGGATCTCAGTGTTTTTCCAGAGAGGAGAAATGAGCCAAACTCATTTCTGACTCTATGCCCAGGGCTCACACCATGGGCAGGACTTCGCTGGTCAGAGGGTACAGAAGAATGGAGGAGGCATGTTAGTGGAGTCCCAACACGAGTGGCCCAGACATCCTACCCAGTAGGGGAGCAAGGCCCAGCCAAGCATTCCCGGGCGATGGCAGGAAAAAGGAAGACTGGCTGAGGCCACTCTGCTGATTTCTCTGGGACCCTACAGACTTGGGATAAGGCTGACACCCCATGAACTGGAAAGAAGGAACTTGGCCAACTCATGACCTGCAAGCCCCAAGCAGCCAGCAGGGAGCAGCCCTTGGCAAAGGCTGAGCTATGGAGAAGACATCTGCTTCTCCGATGGGTTACGCTCTGTATAGAGGGCATCACAGGTCTGACCCCGATCCGGTTACACCTACAGAGAGTCGCCGGGGTCTTGGTCGGAGGCAGGGCTTCAGTGAGCCAGGCCTGAGTCCAACGCCCAGCTCCCCTGCCACTTAGGAGCGTCAAGGTCTTGAGCACATCTTCTAACCTCCTGGCTTGGAAAAGGGAGAAATGACGACAGAACCCACCCCTCACATTTACTGTTTGCTGTACACCAGGCTAGATGTGCTTGGTGCTCGAGAGACTGGAAATGCCCAGTCAACGCGAGGTATTATCATGAGCACAGAATCTCCCCAGGCAAATGTTGTCACAGAAAAGCAGCCAGGCGTAGGGCAGGAGGCTAGCTTTGGAGTCACTAGCTGTGTGGCCCTCAGCAGGTAACTCTACCTTGGAGCCTCAGTTTCTCCATCTTTGAATTGGGTATAATAACCATTCCTGCTTCATAGGGTTGTCCTGAGGATCTGCTGAAGTGGGTGTAAAATCCCAGCCCAATGCCCTATGTTCCGGAACCCTGTGGCGGTCCCAGCCTCCGCCTCAGTTGGAGTTCACGTTACCTGCAGCTCGGCCGCCGTCACTTTGTGGTAGATGAGCTCCTCGTCTCGACGCTTCTCCTGGGGGATGGTGATGTTGGCCAGTGCTGTCTCAAAGTCCAGGACCTGCTGCATCTGCGGCCGGATGGCGTCCTCATCCCCGCCGCCCAGCAGCTTCCCCAGCTGGACCATGTAGTTCAGGTATCCTGTCAACACCTGTGGGACCCAGCGCCCCCAATCTGTCAGTGGCTGCCATCCACTGCCCACTGGACAAGGGTGGCAGGGCCCGCTGCAGCCCAGCGCAGGGAGCGAGGGTGCTGGAGGCTTTGCCCAGGAACCTGCTAGAAACCAGCTTCAAGAATGATTTTGGCAATGCACCACTTCACTGGCTCCCCGTGGCCCTCAGGACAAAGCCCACAGGTCCCCAAGTTGGACCCCGATGTTCTGGCCCACGTTCTCGCCCACATGTTCGTCACATGAGAGCCACCAATGGGGCCATCTTTCGGTTCCTGAAACTCACTTTTTCTGAACTGCTCTCCTCTACCGTGCTCCCAGATCTGAATCAGGTCACCGGGTTACTTTCTCAGCTCACCCTTCACTTATCACAATTTGTCGTTATGATGGTTAGTTAATTAACGTCTGCTTCCCTGTTGTCTGACAGCCGATTTCTAATAACATGCCCCCCTGCATTTAGCCTCTAACCCAATTAGCCAGAGAGAAAAGCCTGTATGACCANAAGTTGCTGTCCTTTTGTTCTTCAGTCTAGTTGTGGAGGACGTCGCTTCACTGGCCCATGTTGGTATTATCATTGTGCTCTTCCTGGATGAGGCAGATCGGTCGCCGGCCTCTGGATGGCCGCTCACGGCAGCTCTTGGCAACTCACACTGACTGCCGGCCGCTCACGCTGGCTGCCGGCCACACACGGTAGCTTATGGCAACCCACTGCAGCAGGGGCTGCAGCCTATGCCGTCGCCGGTAACTCAGGGCAGCCCAGCTCCAGGTCGAGCTGTTGTTCAGCATCTTAGCTGTAGAGGGCGCAGTGTCACTGGCCCTCAAGTGGGATCCGAACCGGGGCCCTGCTGCTCAGAGCTGGAGTCCCAAGCCAGCTCTTAACCAACGTGTCACTCGGCCGGCCCTCTGGACTGTTTTTTGAACGCAGCTGGCTTTGAGCGCCAGGCACTTCACACACATTCGTGATCTCATTTAGGCCTCACCACAGGACTCAGATACAGGAGTGATGCCCACTTTAAAGATGAGGAAACTGAGGCTCTGGGCAAATGATGGAACAAGGTCACACAGCTACATGGGAAAGCCAAGACTGAACCCAGCAGCGTCCTGCTGCAGCAGCTCCACAGCTGGGGTTTCTCGGCTTTGCCTCACCACCTCTTTGCAGGTCACGCCAGGGGCTGCTGTGGCCCTTCTGGTGAGTTCGGTCTCCCCCCTGTATAGGGAGGATTGAGGCAGGGCAGGTGTTGTGGGTTCTTGGGCCGGGGTTCAAATCCCAGCTTTCTGCTTCTGGCTGTGGGCCTTGCACAAACGACCTCATCACTCTGGGCGTCAGTTTCTCCACTGAGAAATGAGGAAGAACAGCAGGAACGATCTCACAGCCATGATGAAATGACCTCATGGTTGGGCATGGGAGCTCAGCTCCCTTGAGCCTTAGGGTCTCATGTTCCCAGGCCACTCTTTAGAGAACAGAAAAGAATGTATGGGTTGGGAGGGGCAATGTTCACCTCACTCAGAAACAGTGCCAATTGGGGCTGGGTGGCCTGTGGGCTTATTAACGTCTGATGACAAATGCTAAGTCCTGTAGGCTGATGAAGGGCTCGGAAGAACCGCACAACAGTGCAAAAATCAAGTGACTTTATTTTGAGGTAATTACTTATTTTGAGAGGACTATACAACAATTAAAAATTACTGAGGGAGCATTTCAAATCTTGCTCCCCAATATATATCAGTTAGGCTCAAATAAACTCATAAAAATTCCCAAAAAAATTATTGCGCCATTAAGGCATGAAAATAGAGAAAGGAAATGGTAGGGGACAGGAACCATTTTAACGATCTCTAGATCAGATCATCTTAAGCAGAGTTGCATGCCTCACGCCCCATTCGGAGAATGTACCGGAATCTTTATGGGGGGTGGGAGTGGGGGAAGAGAATTTCTGTGTAGTTTGAAAAAGCCCTATTCACTATTATGATAAAACTTCACATTTGGAAAAGGAAAAGAATACCTATTGTCTTTATACAACAAACTACAGGAAGTACAGTCTGACAAAATCCTGGCTGGTGGGAATGCCCAGAAGACATACTGTAAGGGGGGTGATCCTCAGGGAAAGAGATACAGCAGAGAGAGAGAGAGATACAGGAGAGAGGGGGAGAGGGGGGGGGGGAGAGAGAGAGAGAGAGAGAGAGAGAGAGAGAGAGAGAGAGACAGACACAGACACAGAGAGAGAGGGATTGCTTTGGAGTTATCATAAGGGGACTTGNTCACAACCACATTATTTATTTACTCATTAATTTACTGTCTCCCCTGCTGGAATGCGATTCCACAAGAAAAGACTGTCGTATTCCTTACACCATCCTAGCACCCAGCGATGTCTGGCACACAGTTAGTGTACAATATGTAACTGCTGACTGCGTGAATGAATGAATAAATGAATGGGTGTTCTGAGAGCTCCGCAGAGAAAGATGGCAATCATTTCAGACTGAGGGAGGTGGCTTGGTTTCAAAGCGAAATCAGCCACAGATACTTTTCTCATTAGGAAAAGCTTGGTTTCCTTTAGGACAGCCCTGCCTGGGTTTACTTCCCAGAAGGTTCTATGGTTACAGGCAAGGAGGAATCAACAGGAAGGCTCCCAGGACTCAGCTGTGGCCACATTTTGGAGATGGTGGCACTTCCAGGGCCCCAGTGGTCTGGAAATCATTTGGCAGCCCAGGACCAGACAACAGGGCCTCCCGACTGCCTGGGTACTTCTTTCCAGGGACCTGAGTTCCAGACACTTCCTCAGTCACTTCCCCAAAGTCCCAGAGAGGAAAGACAGCACACCATTTAATCGGCCCGCTTCTTCCTCTGGGAGTTTATATTGGAACAGCCTTTTCCCACATCACTCCCCGGGAGGAAACAAACGCCCAGGCAGCTGCGCGGCTGCAGGGATGGGGGTTACTGGGAATTCTGTGGCCCCCGTGCTACAGGGAGGCTATTTGGCTAGGAGTATGGGTGAGGGTGGGGGTGGGGCTCAACTCCACATCAGGGCAGGACCAGCATTTGTTTTAGATAAAACCACAGACTCAGCTCAGACAATCATAGTCCTTAGGAGCCCCATCCTATGAGGGGAGGAGGGGAGCTGATAAAGGAGGTGCCTTTTTCTACAGAACAAGAAAAGAATGATACCATCACTATTTCCTGGGGTCTACTGCAGGCCAGGCCCTGTGCTGAGATCATTTCATCACCACACTGAGGTACAAACCGAGGCCCAGGGAGAGGAAGGAACTTGCCTAGGAGGCAAAGCTAACGTGGCACGCTGGAACTGGAACCCAGGCTTTCTTCAGCCTCCCTGAGAAAATGAACCGCTTCCCCTGTGTGTGGGCGTGGCTATGTGTGTGCATCTTGTCATAACAATGTTCACCAGTGGGTGTTATCAGAATCACGCCCAATTTATGTAGGCAAGAGGTGGGTAACCTGTCCAGGTCACACAAGTGAGTGGTTGAAGCCAGGACAGGTGACTAAGCTCTGTTTTCCTTTCCTTGCCTGCAGGTTGGCTCAGAAAACCAGAGGAAGACCTGAAGCCATCCAGCTGCTCCTAAGAAGCCCTGGACACCTGCGCCCATCCTCGGATCAATTCGTCAATTGGTCCATTTAAGCATTTCCCAAACATGTAAATGCCCAGTGCTGTAGACACAACACTGGATAGAAAGCATTTCAGATGCAGATCTCATCCAAAGTTGCCAGTGTGCACAGGAAGATGAAACTACGTTAGACAGCTAAGTGCTTGAAAAACAAATCAAAATAAAAATCTGTGAGATGTCACAGGGTGACATGATTAATTGCCCAGTCATTGACATGGACACATATCATGCTCTTGGAATGACTCTTTGTGTTTCTCAGGAAGACTGGTGTCAGCATTAGAAGGAAGGGAAAACCTCTAATTTTTTTTTATTTTTTATGAAATCTTTGTTGCTCGAATGGTTACAACAAGCAGGCATTTATTTATTTTTTTGCGTGCATTAATCTTATAATATAAACTATAGTAAATATGACAGGCACACCAAATGGAACCGTAGCTCAAGTCTGGAGAGGTCCTTTGGTAGCCATGGAAGGCATAGCGGCGGGAACAAGTTTGAGAAAAGTCTTGTAGGGCTGCGAGGGGCTGGGTAGGTAACTTGAGATGGCAGAATAATCTGTGCTAAAACCACAAGCTGGGAAGCCTAAGGCAAGGCCCAGCCTACGAGGTGATCCTTCCCGTGATGAAGTGAGGCCATACTCTTATCTCCCCAAACCTATGAGGACAGCCCACGCTGGCAGCTTGGTTGGGCAGCAGAGTGTTTCTTGGGTGAGGCATCTGTGTCTCATGGAGCTGATGTCACCGTCCTCCAGCCAGCAGGTTGCAAGGACATGCCATGGTGACACTTGGCGGAGTTCAACCCACCTGCTACAGATCTGCCTGGATTTCCTCTGAGGGGGCTAGGGTGAATTCACTCTTCAGAGAAAGGAGTGGCTTGCCCAACATTACACGCAAGCTGATGACAACAGTTGTTCTGCCTGGCCAGATGACACAGTCCTCACCTGCACTCGAATGTCCCTTCTCCTCCTTCTACCTCGGGAAGCCCACCCCAGGCCAGCATGGAAAGCCCGGGACCTTGCTGTCTGCTCCAGTCCCCATTAGCTCCAGCTCCCTCCGGAGGCCTGCTGGCTGACCTCGTCTTGGGGAAGCTGAAACCAGCCTGGCCTTAAGCCCAAGAATGCACTGGCCCACGCTCTCGCATTTTTTGTCACCCACTTACCTACCTCCTGGCCCTTCAGGGGTTTCCAGGTATCAAGGCCCACAGGTGAGAGGCCATTTCCAGACTAGTTCCCAGGAGTGAGCCAGGGAGAGGGAACCCCAGGATGTCCCTTCCGGAGATCGCTCCTGAGCAGTGTGACATGAGGGTGACCCCAGTTGCTGTGTTCATCAAGCCTGCACCAGGTCCTGCCTGGCCTGGAGAGCTCAATCAAGCAGCCACGGGGGCAAGGAGGTTAGTGAACCACTTGTGGCTGCTCTGTGGCCTCTGTGTGATGAATCTGACTCAGCGGAATCAGTTGAGAAAGAATGTAGGTTTGAGGATCCACAGCCCTGGGGCTGAATCCCAGCTCCACCATTTCCTAGGAAATACATTTCCTTTATACTTGTGAGTTTTACCTGTAAAATGGGCACATACAGCCTATGCTGTGGCTTTGATAAAATACTACACATAAACAACCCAGCACGGTCATGGGTACACCCCCCACCTCCTTCCCTGATAACTAGTGCACATCAGTGCTTCCATAAGAAATAAAATAAGGGCCGGCCGAGTGGCGCGATGGTTAAGAACTCGCTTGGGATGCCAGAGGNAGAGCAGCCATCTGACCTCTCTGAGCCTCAAGAGCAAAGGAAAGGGATGCTCTTCATTAGGGGTTTCTGACCAGTGAGCCAGAGATCCCAAAGAGAACAAAGACGGATCCTAGACAAGTGAGCCATGAATCCATAAGGCAGCTGCTCCCTGGGTGGCTGGGGATGGGGATGGGACGAGACTTTTCCAGTACATTGTTCATTATTTGAATGCCGAATCACGTGACTGTAATTCCTATCACAGCATAAATTCAATTGTTCCTATGGAAAAAAAGGTTCCATATTTTTAAAAAGGTTGATAAGCTACGGTCTACTTTAGTGTCTCTCAGAGTTGAGATTTTTAAAAGTCTCCTTGGCCTTCTTCCCTGGTTGGGCACGTCCACACTTCTGTGTGTGCCAGGCAGCCCGGCCAGCTATGGGCGGCCCTTCTCAGAGTCTATCCAAGGCCGACCGGAAGGTACCCAGGAAGAAAGACTCGTTCTTCTGCTCAGGAGGACAGGGAGGCCCCAGGTCAGTGCGGCCCTCCTCAGAGGGAGGGCTCTGCTTCTGGTCCAAGATTTCCTGTTGGTCCTTCTAGAACATACACAAACACACCCTCTGAGGAAAACGAAGCAGTGACATAGAGAAACATTTTCCCTATAAATACAGCCTCGGTCCCACACACAGATGCACAGACACACATACGAGTATGTGTGACAGACATCCACAACAGATGCTAACACACATTTCCACACAAATACACACACAGACATTCCCACCCACAGAGATGGGCGCATGTGTGTGCGTTTTCTCTCTCTCTCTCTCTCTCTCTCTCTCTCTCTCTCTCTCTCTCTCTCTCTTTCTCCCTCTCTCTCTGTTTCTCATCAGCCCAAATACACATGTCAGCAACAGGCTCCACTGTCCAGGTGGGCGAGGCAGCTGGAGGTGTGAGGTGGCCGCCCCGGTGGTAGCTGAGAGCGGGGATGGAAGCCAGAGGGACAGGAGGAGGCCTGGGAAATGCACCTTCTCAATCAGCTCCATCAGGGGCTTGGCCTTGAGCTCCTCGATCCTGGTTTCGTTCATACACGCACGGTAGTATACTTGGGCCTTCTTTTCTGCTTCGCTTCCACTGGCTGTGGAGTTTTCTGGAACAAGAGACAGCAGTTTGCAACATGCCTACATTTGCACACTGGGTGGCCCTGGATGACTCCTTCTCAGGGCCTTGGTGTTGTCAGCTGTAAATGGAGCTGGGACTCTGTCTAGCAGGGCAGCGACAAGGAACTCAGTTGAC